GGTAACTATATTCAAAATATTCAATATAAACTGAACACGATTTGCACAAGAGGCGCAGAAGTTGTCCCTATCACATAATGTTCTCATTAATATATCCCAGACTCAAATGACCGCCGAAATGTTTTTGAGAGTTGGAAAAGAACGTGACTTGTTTCGACCCTTGTGTTTCAATCGTCCCAATTAGCTGCATAGTAGTCCCATCGCTCTTCAATGACACACATGGAGTAATATGATATTTCAAAATGATATATCTATAGTATACGATGATATGTATTTTTATTATAACAGATCCACAAGTAACAGGTGATCCACATTTGACGACATTGTAGTTTCCAAGGCATATGCTGGCATACTCTGTTTAAAGACTGCTCGTCATCAAATCCTGCATTTGAAGTAACAGCTGAGTTTGAGCCTAGGGAGGACAGTACTGTTGAACATTTATTGAAGGTCAAAGCGTCTAGGAGCTAGCAGCTAAGTTCTGGGATGTGCTAATTGGTTAAATTGGTTGATTTCAATCTAAATACTTTTCAGCAAAAGGTGCGTTCGATTATGTTGATCATGACCTTGTATGACGACACCATAATTACTATTCATATGACATCATACAACATATTGTAAAACATACCATTTTACACATACATAACGTATACTTATGAATTATATATTTTGAGACACCAGCGGCAAACTCAAAAATTTACATGACGGATATCAAATATGACGTCATTTCCGGACTTTGCTTCCTTATTGTGCCAATAATGTATCACTGAGATTGTAAAATTAGGCCATGAAGTATATGTAAGATCACTCATTGCTTCATGTTAGTTATAAAACTAACTAAATAAAATATAAATAAACAATGACAATAATTAAATAGACCAAAGAAGGTGTACATTTTTAGAAAATAGCAGTGTAAAGAAATAAAAATACGAAACATATGCAATCCTACATACGCACATACCCACCCCACACACATTATAATAAATATAATGGAATAAAAATCGACGGTGCTAGATAGCTGATACACGCGACCGGATTTTTAGGCTAATTGGTGGTAATCATGTCAATAATATTTGTTTGTCGTCTCATAACATCGTTTCCAAGGCGACGTTAATTTAAACTTGAGAGAGTTGTTGTACTGAAACATTATTGACTTTGTGTTCAGTATTCAATGCAGCCCGTGGAAATTTCATCATGGTGCATATTTCATTTTCTTTCGGCCATAGAAATGAATCAAATTTAAATGGTTGTAGGTTTCTCTCAACGCTGGCTAATATTCTTTAACATTAGTCACGTAGTTGCATGTGAATGTCTTATGCCACCAATTATTAGCCTACCAGTGTTCTCTTGTTTAAATCTTATAGTTGGTGTCAGCCAATAGATTTTATTCGCTGCGTTTTATCCACGCGATGCATGAGGACGTACTTAAATTACGCCAGCTTGTGTATGTAGCTTTGTTTACTGACAAATACCAGTTACCAGTGGATCTGGAAAATTATATTTGTGCCCCAAAAGACAATAATCATTACTGAGTCGTCTCCCTAGTGGTCGAATAATCGGCCTCAACGTGTATTTCAGGTGTTCATATCCTTCCAATTTATTCTCATATATTCTATCAAAGATCTCATTTCCTTCTACAGTGAAAACATTCTTCCAATCGCCAACAATGCCTGTCACGGTAAAAACCTTATTGTTAATTCTCTTTATATATCTCCATATACTGACTTCATAGTTACTTTCTTGTGCAATAATCCGGACGTTACCCACACACACTCTAAATATATCGAATGGATATTTGGAGGATTGTTATAGTTGCTTTATAACAATATGCATAACGCGTGATTCTCGCAGTGAATGGAAAATGGTCAATTGTTTTAGTTGCTTTATAACAATATGCTACGAACTCTGACGTGATATGACGGATAATTATAATATAGTTAAATACAAATGTCACGTGTCAAACCAACCCACAGTGGTGCACTCAAGAATAAAGGTTCATTAAATGTCAATACAGATTTCCATGTTGTATGCTCTACAATTTTCGTCTGACTATAAAGTCAACAGATTCCTATACCTTACAATTTATTTGAAAATTGCTGCTGAGATCTTTTTGAGAGAGTGAAGGCATCGTGACTTGTTTTGCCCAAAATAGTGTTTCATCATATTCGGTCATCACTAGCACTGTTTTTTTCATTGTATTTTGAAAAGTGTGCACTATTTTGAGAAAAAAATAACAAGTCTCGTGGGTCTCGCTCTCTCAACGAGATTTCGGCGGTCATTTGTGAATGAGATCTATTGATTTACACTTTAGTTATATTGCCGCGTTTTGCTTTATTTGGCATAATGAAGTTTCAGAGTACGGTCAATCTTTACCTTTCCTTTGAAGCCGTTGTCCCTTTCGCATCAGAAACTCCGTAATGAAAACCGAGTTTGTTTTCATAAACTGAAAATCTGTCACACGAGCTACCTCTTGTATTTGTTTATCTGTTAGATTCTTGCCAAGAAATTTGGCAATTTTCAAGATGTATTCTTGTGGAGACTGCAAAATATAAGCATGTTATTATTATGGTCAAAGGGCAGTGATCGTCGCGCCACACATGAGCGATACACGGGTCTAATATAAACAAAGATGGTGACTTTGACAATACACATACCTGTTTGATATCTTCATATCTGATAAACATGGTCCATGGTTCCTCTTTATATTTAGCCCAATCAATTGTATATTGAAAGTATGAACCATATTCGGCTAGATATAACAACAAAGGCAGGTAAAATGCTAAAGACGTGTTAGTACTCGAGCTATAATACGAATATAAATACAATTGATGTGCATATTGGAATATGTGATGCATTAATTGCGAGACTATGATGCGAAATACGTTCATGTCCTGGCATCCATGCATGTGATCAAAATATTCAACGTGCACAAACAAATGCTTTGCATTAAGTGACAACATCTGTTCTGATATGTGTTGTTTAGCAGCAGGTATCTTCAATGTAATTTTTTTATTTCTACGGTGAGCAGTTTTGCAGACTGATAACGTCAGCAATGACATCAACCTGCACACAGTGACGTTTACCAAACACAGGTTCTAAATCTATATTTTCGAAATAGCGCTGTGATTCGGGATACTACCTGACGACACTGACAGGAGAAAAATACATGTTGCTAACCCAGAGTAAACTTTGATTCATATTCAAATTTGTTGATGCTAGTCATTGAGACCCTGATAACATTCCACATACATGTTAGACATGCGATTCGGGTTCTTGTAAGACTTGTATTAGCTAACTTTTTAAATTGTAAAATAAAAGATTTATTTAATGCTTTCAGTTTTCGCATCCATGGAGATAAAATCTGTTCGGAAAATATAGGCAGATCTGCTCTAGGAGATGAATTGAATGCATTACAAAGACGTTCCCCACTGGCACTTTATCAAAAAGGTGCGCCCTCTAGTGGCAAAATGATCATGTGATGTAAAGCATGTCACGAATGCCGTTCAAAAGGTCCCCTGTAGGCGTCTATGAAGATTGTCATTGTCATTGTTATCACATAAATACGTTATTTTAACGTGAAAGGCACAGTACACATTTCGCGCATTTGATAGAAATGTAGCATTAAACATAGGATAATGCATTGCTTTTTATTGCGAATATTTTTGAACTATTTATTTTCACTCACTCTATGACTCAAAATCAGGCGAGTGATTGTACGCTTGAAGCAATCAAAGTCACCAATAGAGGGCAGTTTATTCGACCTCGTTTTTAGGCGCTTATAATAAGATTTTATATAATAAGTTTGAATATATGAAAGGCTAATGTCAAGAAGGAGTATTGTGTGAATATCACTATTATGAACGAGATCAGACTGTATATCTACGCTGCAGTTATAGACAATCAACCGCAACCTTGGGGTATATGATGATTTCTGGTGCTCTGGTATAAAAACGTTCCAATGTCATCTGCATTGTGAGTGGGCATTGTGTTAGATTTTGCCGTGCCAACTTTCGAAAGCTCATAAGAATGCTGGGAGCCAAGAAAACCAGCGAATAAATCACAGGATCAAAAAATCAACCCCCATTCTCGCACAGAAACCGACTGAGGGCGCTATAATTCACAACTTTTTTTATTTGCGCAGACCTCATAATATTTTGACATTCTAACAAATAGATTGTTGTTGGTTACTCACTGTTCTCGTTGCAATATTCTCTGATGAAATTGTCCCATTTAATTGGTTCCAACACTTTTGTAATATGGTGATAATTGAATAAGGACACGGCTACATCCTTTGGATTTCTGGTGACTATAATTGTCTGAAAACAATCAAAATTGCTAATTAAACAACAATAAAACAATTGTCGGCAATTTACTGCTTTCTTACTCACTCAACAACGGCCTCATTCATAAATAATAATAACCAATTTTAGGATATCGTGATACAGGGGCCTCGGGAAACGTGAATACTGTTTCCTCTACCTTTCGAAGGCAAATGATTTTCAAATACAGCTGCCAGTGTGTAGTATACCATTCGAACAAAGCGCGCCCTCTAGTGATGGACAGCTTCTGCGACGGACGCATTTTATGCTGAACACAAAACTGGTCCCACAAACGGTGAAAACAAGTTACAAAAACATATTACTCACTTTACAAGCTTTACAGTGCAATACATATGTTCAAATTCAGTTTTGAAAGACAATATTCGATAGAGTTAACAATGCATAAAACCCAAAATAGAAACACAAGTATTAAACTAAAAATAACATATCACATAATTGTATTGTGATGAAATAAAACAATCCAAATATGTTACCTTCGGTTTCTTCTCAAAATACGCATTTGGCATAAATTCTGGCATCAGATGTGTTTTCATTATACGTGGCCTCGTCAGTGGTCGTTTTTTCATAACACTAGCACCAGACACCGGGACCATGTCTTTAGTGAGACCGACTTCAAAGAGATTCGGGTGATCAAGTGGACCCATTTCCAGAGTAACAGACTGAGAATGTCTAACCACGTCTTCTGGATTGTCAATGCTAACAATTGCTTCGACTATAGAAGTGGTCCAATGAGTCCCTAGTGAAAAATGACGCAATGTTTATCACGTTAATGGCACGCCTGTGGTATAAGATTGTTTCATTGATTTTAGCAAAAACACGAAAAGAATACAGGGACAGAAACCTGTGGGAAACTTCTATTACGTAAGCGTCGCAGTGCGGGCAGCAAGTCCACAACCGCATTTTTACGTTTTTTCAGTAGTGTATATAACCCGATTATAAAAAAAATACGTTCCCAACAGACTAGGTTGGGTACTGCTGTTCATGTAATGTAGCATGTACGTGTTGTTTTAGAATCGACAAATACATAGAACGCGTATATGACAAGTGTCAACTTAAATCGTTATTTAACCTGGGTAACAAATTCGTTTAAATGTTACTAGCTGATATGGTACTGTTGATAAATTCTCGTTTTGAAATTCGTCCGTCGAAAAACGTAATACGTGCGTCGAATGTAGGCGTGCGTGATGCCACTTGTTGTGCGATATTAAAACGTTTGATGATATATTATTTGTATTACTTGACCCTATATTATCTAGTGCTTATACGTTTAGTAATTCTTGTTTCATGGTCTATTATGAGAGTCGAGACATAGTAACTACGTTACACGGCAATTGCCTGCAACCATTGATGGATGAAATGGTCTATCTGTGAATACTCCAAGGTAATCCTTTGGGATAAGTTCGCCTCAATATCTTAGACTCACCGGATTTAACATAACCAAGAATAAATATGTCGTCTCTTCTTATAGTCAGATTTCTGACATCGTTTTCTATTGTTTTCTTGTTAGCGACACATGGCAACAAACAACCGGGTCTAAAATAGTAGGATTTCTTCCAGGGCGGCTGAACGATGGGTCTATATTTAGACATGACGCCAGCATTCAGAGTAAAGTACAATTCTGAAGCAATTAAGTATTAAAACTGAGGGAGTCGTCACCTGCGCATCTACGGGAATTGAGTCCCAAGCGACGACAACAACGCACGCTAAAACACAAAGGCTCATGGGTAGGCGCTTGTTTGTAAACAACGACACGGTATGGCCATTTGCCGCATGCGCAGGTGACGACTCTGTCGCATTAAGATATACACATTTTTTGATTGTCCTGAAACTGATATTACACATGTACTCAACATTATATTCTGGATGCCGGACACATTGAGCTAGGAAAAGCTATGGTCGGCGCTGTATATAATCGAGACATATTTCGGCTTGCCGTAGCTCAATCAGATTGCATTGTAAAATGAGAAAGCAGTTGTCAAACTTGGTGACCAGGTTAGTATGATAGAAAAAGTCTACGATCTTCAAATAACCACAAAAGACATACCTGGGAACCGAATTCCGGCGTTTCACACTAAATGCTTTCTATTATTAATAATTTCACTTTCAAATAACATTCATGAATATGTCTACGTCACAACCTCGTTAAATGTTATTAGCATATTGTATACGCAGTGCGCATGCTTCGGGCCCTTTTCCGTATTCCACTAAGTTTGATATTGTGTCTCGCCACTGAACTAAATGTCTTGTTTTTAAATCAAGGCTGTAGTGTGACTTCCACTTGTTGACAATGTGCTCTTCAAGGCGCTAAAACTGTATGTCCACCTCTGTTGGGATAAACATTTGTTTAATATCACACCAATAACACTCACTAGAGACAATGTCCTGACATAAAATGATTTGTTCTTTTTTCCAGGTTTTATTTTGCTAGACCGTACGTGGCCTTCGTTTTGTCAGGTTGTTAGGGATATCATTACCAGAGACTTTGCCTCAGAACGTTCTAAAGTAAAAAACCCATTTAGTCTTTGCTAGAAACAAAAGAATACTGAGAGTCGGAATATCAGCTTTGCGGACAGTATCAACAATGAGTATAACTGCATCGTGATTAACAGTGGAAATGATTGGTAAAATGATGTTGCCTCTGGATTCAGAATTGAGTTTAAATGCGCCATTGTTATTTCTGTACCCTAAAGCAATATCACTAACTTTATATCGCACAGTGTTTCCAGAATACCTCGGCTTAAACAATAGATAACAGCAGTAGATATTATAAGTACCCATGTGATATATTAGTTCCCTAGTCATATATTAGTCATTGTGCCCTAAAGTACCAGCCACTAATAATAAATTTAAACTGATTATATCAGTGTATTGACGTAACATGACCGACAGTTCAGAGTATGTGAGTACACACGGTCACATAAGCATGTATTAAAATAAATATGCCGTGAGTTATTTGTTGGCACGGATTTTCCTGATTCGGTTTTGAGCCAATGCACGTGTTTCAGCATGCGTCGCGTCGGTGCTGATACTTGAAATATATGTAACATAATATACAATTTAATACGAAATATTTTGAATGTACAGTATTCTAAATGTTATGGCCATGCATACATTTTGGTCCACATTCGGCATAATTGAGGAAATGAACTTGACATTTTAGTTTGAAAAACCGGTCTAACTAAACAATAACAACAAACAATAACTGGCAAAACACTATAATGCAACTATGTAAAAGAAAATATGGACATCTAAAGCAGTCCAATCTGTTTTTATTATGTGACTATTTATAATTAAGGTAATAAACTATTATTCTTTATCAACTTGATACGCAAGCTCCGCCGACCTCTGGCCGCAAAGGCCAGATCCCGATTCCGTAAAAAATTATCATATACTATATTGGTAATTGGTGATCAACTCTTTTTGTTCTTTTTTTTTGTATTTGTATTTAAAAAAGTTAATCCGTATTCTGTTAACTATTATGTCAAACTGCAATATACGAATAATTAAAATCTGTACATTGTATTTATTACATTACACTTTAATATACGATTAATTAAAATCTGTGCATTGTATTTATTACATCACACTTCAATACACGATTAATTAAAATCTGTGCATTGTATTTATTACATCAAACTTTAATATATGATTATTTAAAATCTGTGCATTGTATTTATTACATCACACTTCAATATACGATTAATTAAAATCTGTTTCATTGTATTTATTACATTACACTTTAATATACGATTAATTAAAATCTGTGCATTGTATTTATTACATCACATTTTAATATACGATTATTTAAAATCTGTGTATTGTATTTATTACATCACACTTCAATATACGATTAATTAAAATCTGTGCATTGTATTTATTACATCACACTTCAATATACGATTATTTAAAATCTGTACATTGTATTTATTACATCACACTTCAATATAAAAAAAAAATATTGGTAATTTAGAATGACGCATTTTGTTTTGATCGAGAATAGCCGGGCGCACTGGGACGGGCTTGATAAGAAAACTATTGCCCTGATGTGAGGGCGCGCTTCCCATAGCAATACGAGGTATATGATAATAGCTATTTTCTACAACACGTATAATTTTACGTCATATTATGTTCAGGATAAAATCCAGAAACTCTAATAATTTCCTGCAGTGAAATAACCTTACCAAAAAATAATTATATACCTGTTGAGTGCTGCAGCTGATGATGTACTCTTAACTTAGCTTAATAATTTATTTAAACACTTTTCGATCAAGCAAAATTGTCAAAATGTAATTTGGAGATTTCTTTTAATTTAAGATCAATCTCGCAATAAAATAATGAAGGCTTCATTTTTTCTGTCTTTTATAATTTTTTTATTCATATATTTTCTAAATAAGTACATTACTTCAAAATAATCTTATATGTCAAAAAGATATACAAAAAGAAAATTAACAACATAAAATGAAGTAATAATAGATAAGAAAAGGGGAGAAAGTAAACAATTAATGGGGGGCTGTTGTTGTTAGTATGTGTATGTTGGGAGGTCCTTCCTTTTCTTTTATAGATTATCGAATTTCATTAATTTACAATGACTAGTACATGGTAAGTAAACTTTATAAAATTATCTTACAAATATCCTTCAATCACTTACAGTACTTTGCCCATTTCGTTTCAAACTTATTTTCACTTAAAATTTTTTTTTCAATGTTAATTTGGTTTCTTATTTTACTCATGAAATAAGCTATTGTTGGGCTATAACCAGTAAACCTGCTACAATACAAGACATATTTACCAATTAGTAACAACAAATTCAAAATAGATTTCCAGTACTCCGAAAATAATACTTGAACATGTGATTAAATTTGTGTTATCATCAGAGATGTTTCTCCAGATCTCGTCAAACGAATTTCAAAATCTTTGATCTGTTGAACATACCGGAACAAATATTCAAAATTTTCCTCATTTTGGCAATATTTACACAAACTATCTGTTCTCAAGTTATTTTTGTATAATAATACATTTGTTGTTACAATTCTATGCAAAATTTGGAACTGAAAAATTCTCATTTTTTCGTCACCTGTTACCTTATAAGGTAACTTCCAAATTGCCTTCCATTTACTTGCTATGTCCTGCCCATAAATCATTGACCCATATTTAGTTTTTGAGCTTGGGGGTTCAAATTTACTTTTTACCAATATTTCATAGAAATCTTTTGTTTCATCCTTCCCATAATTCATTGTATTTTGAACATTTTGTTCAGTTATATGCACATGGTCATTAAATTTCAAAAGATTTTTTGCATTTTGATGGAATTACCGAAATAATACCTGTATATGTTATAAAATTCACAGCAATATTATATTAAGAAATCGACCATTATTATCTACCAAATTGCAGATGTATCTTACCCCACTGATGTGGCATTTACTGTGATATACAAAGCTCCCATTTATCAAAATATATTTATTATTTTAAATTGTTAGAGTTATCATTTCCTGTACACAACTCGGTTCTTTCTGTTTATTTATCTCACTCAAATATCTTATAATATCCATGTAAATGGGAGGTATTCTACCATTTATTTGGCCCCAATCATTATTGCACTGGAGTAAAAATCGCAAACCCCCATAATTTCTAAAATAATAATAACTAAATACAGCTATAGTTGATTCTGTATGTATAATTTTAACAGCCCAGGAAAGTTTTATTGCTTTGTTCAAAATTTCAATATCCACCATACGAAGGCCTCTTTGATCATAGTTACCAATTAGGGTATTACGTTTTATATGATGTTTTTTTACCTCGCCACAAAAAATGAATAACATTGAGATCGCCGTCATAGAATACACCACATTTGATGCATCAAATCATAATAACTATTCCTTTGAGAGTTAAATTACATGATTTCCAGACAGACAGAATATTTAAAATTTTAGTTATCTTATCATAAAAATTTAATTTCTTATTACACCTATTATTAAGGCCCAAATAAATATTTCCCGCCATAGCCTTTTCATAGTACCTACTAATAAAAGCTGTGTTATTTGCAAGTTAATCCTAAGTCCGGAAAACTTATGAAAATACAAATAAGAATGTGCTTAACTGACACAAAAAGAGCGTGGTATCATCTGCATACCCTAAAATTCGAATTTCATTGTCATAAGGCAAATGTACTCCTTCAATATCTTTACTGGCACGTATAGAAATGGCAAGGAGTTCGATAGCCATGACAAACAGTGCAGTCGATAAAGGACAGCCCTGTCGTATACCCCGTGATAGTCCAAACCAACCTGTGGAAAACCCATTGTTTACAACACAACTCTTAACATCATTATAAAATACATTTATCCAATGTTTAAATGAAAAATTCAATGCCTTATTTATAAAGCTTTAGAGAAGTCCACAAACATGACTGCCCCTGGGTGCTTATACTCCTCACAATAATCGATAACATCAGAAATAAGCCTTATATTATCCATAATTTTCCTCCCCGAAATAAAAGCTGATTGATCTTCGTGGATAATTTTAGGCAAAATATTCTCAAGACGTTTTGCAATGCACCTACTTGCTAGCTTATTATCGCTATTTAATG